GAAACACAGTTAATAAGTTGACTACTATATTTTTCGTTTTAACCCGTTAAAAGTGTTTTATTCAAATTCTGTATAAATGTAAATGTTTCGGTATAAACACCCAACTACCATTTTATCCGACCCAGGTTTCGATTCCTGGGACCCTTAATATGTTATCAAGGTAACAACACATTTAAAAGCATACACTAGACGACAACAAAGAAATAAACACCTAATAAAAAAACATCGTTTCAACTGTTATAAAAACATCCCGACATTTTCCTCTTAACAAAGGACGAGAAAAATAGAAAGCCGTCAATGCTGCAGGTGCAAGGACATTTATTTTTCTTTGGCACCTCTATGTTTTCTTACCGATAGGAACGACGCTAGGCTACGATGGATTTGTTTCAGCGAAATAAAGGAAGCGCTACTGAACTTTTACATTGTCTATTGGCCTTACTTTAGTATTTTTTAGTGGAAATAAACAATACTTTGTTCTTAACTATATTAATTAATACTCTGTTTATACTAATTAATAGACTTTGCGTCTAAAAATGGTCGGTCCTAATAAATAAGTTGACAAAAGATAAATGCTCCAAACATTTTTTGTAATTACAATAATCAGCTTAGCAATCATTTTACCAAATGAAACGTTGTCATACAAAAATTTGACAAACGTTAGTCGTCAAAATGAAGAATAGGCGAAATGTTGGTTGGCTAGTGATAATCGGCCAATCAATTTTCGGCGAATAGGCAGGATCCCCTTATATAGGGGCATTTCAAAAGGCACCTAGATCAGGTCGTCCAAAAGACGACATCGACCGCCAACAGAATAACAAATTCCTAAAATAAAAGAAAATAATATAGCGGTACATCTTATGCTCTCATTGTTAGCAACAGCTCACTTAGCAATTAATATAAATATAATTAAAAAGCGTGTACATGACACTATAAACTCACGTGAAAACTAAAATATCCGAAAATTTAGTTCACCTGAAATTTCTCATATCACTGAAGCTAGACATTTATTACCCGTTATCACTGCAAGCAAGTGTCACATTGCTTACAGCGATGTATTGCGCAGAGTGAAAACTGCTTTAGTAAAGAAATAAAAAATTAAAACTTCCTTCTTACATAACAAAACCATGGGCGTTATTTTCATGTAAACAAATATATGAATTGATTCAAATGAATGAATAAATTTCAAAAATAAATATTATTTTCATGTTGTAGAAGTCTATTTTTTGTCATTTACTTAAGATAAAGGAAGCAATTTAAATAAAACACATTAACGGCTTAAAACGCGATAATATTAGTTAAACTAGAAAATCATTTTAACTACCGCCCGACGTTTCGGATGCTTTGCAGCAGCCGTGGTCAAAGGGATACGTCTCCCCTTTCATTTTAATATATTTCGCGTTTTACTTGAATGTGTACTACGAGCTTAAACTACAGACAGTATTTAATTACCAGTGAAGAAAACAATGTTTCGCAACTGTTTGTACCTACACTACAAAATTATCTATACGTACTTTAAAGTGACGCGATAGCATTTCTGTAATCCTGTTACATTTTGCTGGGATGGGGGACAAATCTGTCATTGGTTAACCAACTTTAGCTAGTACAATTTGCCATAAAATATTTAATTATTTTTGCTTTGGTGAAGTCGTAAATTAACTTTTATCTGATAGAGGACGACAGATATTATCTGTCCACCAGCCTTTATCGTAAAAAAAACGAATTTTGTCACACAATAAAACAGTTAAAACTGTATCCATAAATCAATTTTACCATTAAATTAGCTGTTTTGGATCAGAGTTACATAAAAATAGGTTAACTAATACATTCGTAATTTAAACCGTTAAAACGGTTTTAATTAAATGCTTGCGTTAACTACGGACGTTACTTGATCAATTTTGTATGACTAATAGATAAATATGGATCTCGAAATTAATTTAGGTCATTGGGCCAAGATGATAATTTTGACGTCTCCACTTGTATATGAAGGCCGTGTTAATTATTAATTTTACAATATAACCTATAATACAATTTAGCCGTCATTTGTTTTAGACTAAGTTAAGCACATGTTTGAAGATTGTATAATAATATTTAAAATAACTTGCATAAAATGAACTGATACATTGAAAACAATATATTTTTAAAACCGTTTGTGATAGCGCTGATAAGACTTAACAATAATATTATGATAGTTATTAACTATCACTCGGAATTCCTGAGTTCAAAATAACGTTGTTTACAACCATTTAAATAGGTCATTATGTAATATGTATTGCATACCAATAACAAAGTTAACGTATTCTTAATCGATTAAATATGAGAGATAGACGAAAGTGCTTTGATATAGTAGAAAATTATGGCTCAGACGGTATTCAAACCCACGACTTTGCGGTATAACGCACCATTTTCTAAGACAGCTTATTTCGCCAATTATTAATAAAAAAATACGACACGAGCGGGACTTGAAACGGTGCTCCACAGCGCTCTGTGCTGTTGTTCTAACCAATTGAGCTTACGTGTCCCACCGGTCATTGTCGACACGTAATAATTTTTCAATTTGTATAGGCGTTGATGGTGACGTACGTTACTTATATCTAGTATTAATAAAGCTAATACAGTTTGTAGTTTGTACCTTGTCTTAAAGACAGTGACTTAGGTAGAATAGATAATCAACAGAAACATCATGTCGCAGTTTCTCAATATACTTCCGTTTTGAACCGTTTAAAATGTTGTTCCGTTTTGAAACAATGTACTGACTAAGAAAATTAATGAATTGATTATTAATAAAGGCGTGTAAAATATTTACTTACTTAAGATTTTGTTATGACCGACCGTATCCTTACCGTGTATTAAATATAAAATGTAAACATTAAATACGGATTTCTTCTAACATTAAACAGATAAGGAACATACTATCACAAAATTTATCATTTCTTAAACAATACAATGACGTATTAAGTCTTATTGTTATGTAATAATGGACAACAGTAACAATGCATTCAAACACCGATTAATAATTTACGTTTGAAAAGTTTAGTTTTTGAAGGCACTATATAATTTTAAAATAGAAAATAAATTTAAAAAAATTTCGACTCGGGCAGGACTTGAACCGGCATCGTCAGCGTTCCGTGCTGTTGCTCTACCAATTGACTCGGTAGCTCAAAGTTAAATAATTTTCAAAACAGTTTAACTAATATATCGCACCCCTAGTTGAAAACTCCGGCAATTCAAAAAAACGTTTTTTTCAGAAATGACTAAAAACTGTTTTCGGAGTATTTACTAAAGATATCGAGTATACTAATAATTATTATGATAGGTAAAGTTCTAGAGCCTTTTTAATGACCTACTTTTTAATGCTATTGTCACATAAGTTTAAAAAAAAACTATTTTTTTTTAGTTAGTTGTGTTTTCTTTAGGTAATATGAAATTTTCGGCGGAATTTTTTTTTAATTTTTTTCGAATTTTTTTTTCAACGGTCGAAGTTAGCGTTACCGGAGTTTGAACTCCGTGTAGGTATTCATGGCGGGATTTTGAAAACGCCACTAACTCAATTTAAGTATTTTTTGAGTTAGTGATATTTTCATCTAGGGGTGCGATATATCACTTTTTTAAACCGTTAAACTAGTAACAATTTTAACTTTATTAATTATTATTAGACAAAATAAATAACTACTAAGTATTTAAATCTCAACGATAGTCCCAATTGAGTAGTAACTTTTAAAATTAAAAACCACTTCACTATAAACATTTTATCACTAAGATGAGGAAAAATGTTATCAAAAAATAGCGATAGCTTTTAATATTGTATTTTAATGAAAAAGAAACCGTGTGGCCGTAAATTAATTACTGATTTTTCTAAACATAATTAACCCGACATCTCTGAAATCTGTAAATAAAACGAATGGTAAGTCTATAGACAAAAATGTCACACTACCGCAAAATAGTAAATATCTTTTTCGTGTAGGTAGTTTTGTTTTGTTTGTTTTCATGTGATGAAAAGCACGGGATACACGAGGGGATTGTCCCCATACTCCACAAACGAAACTCTAAAAACAACCCGTTATCTAATTTCTATAAATAACGAACCATTTATGGACTTGGCGTAAGGCCGACCACACACTTGGCGACATTTCACGTCTCGCTGCCCGAGGACAGTGGGCGATGACAGCTTAGAATTATTACAATCCTACTCTTTAAATTTTAAAGACAATGCTTGGCTGCAGCTGTAGGAACAATTACATTTTATTAACCTTTACAGTGTAATACTGTTTATAAAATGAAGTTACGTAATAACCTCGATAAATTCTCTCGAATCTATAAAATCTATATAATATAAATAAGAATCATAATTTGGTTAGGTTACTTGAAGCCCCCTCCAACCCTTTCGGACCGGAAAGACTTCCGAAGACATTTTTTTTATTAAGAAATGTTATTTTTATACAGAGAATCAGTAATTGTTTATCTTCTAGCTCTAGAGCTAGTCCACGATGCATCGGAGTAAATAGATTATTTATTTTTAAATCTGGACAATTCCACCATATTATGTAATCTATAAGACAAATTCAAAATACAGATTATTGTAACATTGCTTTTTTTTTCTCCTGTGACGGTAAAGTTTACGCAAAAACAAATTGCACGTGTATAGTAACAAATTGCTAACGATAAAGTAAAATGTAACATTCTATCTAATTAGGTTATTAAAATAAGTGATGATTCATTCGAGTTCATAAACATAAAAATATGTACACAACCGATTGATAATCACCTCCCAACAAGTTGTTTACAACTGTTTATTTAGTCGTCGCGCTCATAACGACACAAATAATATTTTTGTGTATAATCATTCGTGCGACGGGCTCACGACATGTTGTTTTGAACTTAGCGCTGTACAATTGTAATAATTGACAAAGGTTATCTATTCTATTTATTGAGAGAGCGGAGCATCATACGCAAGGCGGGAACGCCAGTTTCGCCCGCGCCGTAAAAAAGTCATCCAGTTAAAAATGTGCCTATTAACGAAAAACGTCCATTGGATCATTTATATTATGTTCTTGTACGGGAAGATTATCAGTGGCGATTCGTTGACTCTCAACTCAGTGTTCAAGGATCTGTGCAGTCGATCTCTATCGAATCTCATCTTCCAAATCTGCAGCGGCGACATTACAATCAACGACCTCCCGGACGCAGCTCTGTCGCGGCCGAGGTCGCGTCGTGGCGCCCTGTTCTATGCTTCGGATAGGCTGAAGCGACAGGTGGCTGATGAGTGCTGTCTTCGTCCATGTACGGTGGCACAGCTTATCCAATACTGCCCAGAAGATTGGTGAACCGTACTTATTTTAGTCCAAGAGAGGTGTGGGAAACCTTCAAAATGATCTCATTTTGCTTTAAATATGATTAACTGTAAAAAATTGTTTGAAAGTGACTTAATAGCGCGTAAGTTATGAATAGGTCAGTAAACGTCTGGTGGGGTACGGAAAATTTCAAAATAAACAGTAAACAGTACTCATTAAGCGATAAACATTTAATTATTATTTATTGATAGTGGCTGTCGTCTTGGTTAATTACAAATCGGAGTGATCCTGAGTCGTGAAATGAGTAGCTTAATTTTAATTTAGACTGATTATTTATTAATTGATAATATTGTAATTAGCAATATGACGATTTGTGTGTATGTTTCTAATGTTATGTTAAAAAATAAGTTGTGAATGTTATACTAAGTTAGGTCCTAAGGACTAAAGACATTTATGTATTATCTATTATATATCATAAACTTACGTTTGGAATAAGGCCTTTGAATGAAATGAAAATAGAAAACTTGTGTTCACATTTTAATGATACAATTGTAACGGTGTAAAACGCGAAATATATTAATTAACTTATTTTAACTACGGCCAGACGTTTTGGAAGTTTTGCAGGAGTCGTGGTCACAGAGGGTTATAAAAATAAGTTAATTAATATAGCGTTTAATGTACATGTACTCACGTAAACTACAAAATTGTATTCATATGATTTAATGTAAGAATACTTATATAACAATGCTTTATACATGTAAATACGAATATAATTGCTATTAATTTAATTATTTATATGTCGTAAATAAAACATTTTCGATTTTAATTATTAGTTTTTTTGATGTCCCTGTCGCCGTACTGGCGTTTTTTCTTCATAGGGAATGTCTGTATCTATCGGACGTCATTTTATCTGAATGTTATATATCCCAGGAGTCGAATCTAGAACCCCACTTATAGCATACAACATATGCTAGCAACATATGCATTCTAGGCACGACTGAGTCGAGTAGGCGGTAGACCCAATTTAGTATTTTCCTCATATTTGTTTACTTCCTAGAAATCCTTGGGTCGAAGTGCTAAAAGATAATTCAAGAAAGGCCCAGTCATAACAGACTTCAGACAGTCGACTCGTGTTGTTAATTAGATGTCAACAGAGCATAAATATCAACTTGTACATACTATTTATTACATATTAATAGCATTAAAGGTACAGAAATATTTCCGTATATAACTGTGTCTATAGCTTATCGATAGTTTTATACTTAAAAACCATTATAACTGTTTTAAATGACAAATATATAATTTAACTATCCCGTTGGCTTATTGGCATCTCCTGTAACCATGGTTGCTATAAGGGTCGTTGTTAAAAATTTGTTGACTAATATATTTCACGTTTTAAACAGTTAAAAGTGTTTTCTTTGAAGAAGTACACATAGACATTGTTCATATAGTAATCTTTACCTAAAATTAACAATCACAATTTATAAAGAGTGACAAAAATATTACTAATATAAAAACAATATAATGGATAATATTTTAAAAACATTTAAATTTTAACAACGTAGCGTGGGTAGGTACTCTAGCAATTGAGCTAATGTGTCAAAATTAACTGTTTGTTGTTGCTTCGATGCACCTGCTAGTACCGTTCACTGTACAACTATCTAATATGTTTGTAACCTATAAATTTTTTTTTTATGAAGCTGTAAGATATAAATACGGTTTCTTATTTCTTATAACCAATGGAACGTGGGTTCCATTTGCACCAGGACCTTTGTAAGTCATTCGCTTATTTTTTTAAATATTAAATAAATGGTAGAAATACTAAAATTCTGTCCGGGTTATGTAAAATTTTCGACCTTTATACTCGTAGAAGGAAGTTAAGTGTAAATTTCAGTTATGGATTTTTTTCGTCGCAAACAGGGCTTCAGCGCTTCTTTGTAAGAAGTTATGGGTCTAGAAAACTTCAAGCGTCAATTGAGATTATCTGTCTTCTGTCATTGAAAGTACATACATAGACTATAGATAATTAATATAATATACACATTACTATCTTGTTTTGCTCAAACCCAAGGCCATGCAATTACACAATTTGAACCAAATTTTACATTATTGACATTTATCGTATACCTCGCGCCGTCTTCTCGATAACTGTGTTGACAACAACATAATATTGTCTAACCTATATTTCGTTTTATCTAGGTCACATACTTAACTATTCTAATCTGGCCTTATTTACTCAAGTTAGACTATGAGCGGACCTATTAATTATCTATGGAGAAAGATACAAAGGTTAGGTCTTGTTTTTCATTTTTATTGTCTGTAGTATACGACATTTTAATAAAAATTATATAAAAAATTAATTATTAAAGTAATATAATTATTAAAATAATATATTAAAGTTTAACATGCGAAGTTAAGCTTATTTATTTTAATAATTGCCCGACGATGCTTTGCAGTATCCATGGTAACGGGGGAGCTGAAAGAGGAGGGTGTATAAATGTCAAAGTCAATACTTAACAAAGCAGATGGCGCTAGCTTAGCAATTAGTGTTTTTAATAGTAATGAAGATGTCTTTAACAGCGTTGTTTACTTTTTACGTTGGGTAAAAAATGTTACAAACAGGATAAAAGTTTGTAATACAGTAGAGACGTAATCCTTAAGTATTTAATTTTGTATGTAATGAAGTCTTCTTCCGGTTTTTCGATTCTATTGACATAAGTACTAGTTTATTTGTGACATGTTTACAAGTTATATCCAGTTCGTCTATGTCGTTTTGGACTGTGAGATAATATTGTTTAAGTTCGATAGTTCTATCAAACTTAAACACGCTTGGCAACAAGATTAGAAGAGATCCGATTAGCCATTGATAGACATGATTTGTACCTTATTTAAACGATAGACACAGCGATAATGATGTAATTAATAACTTATATTAGAACACAAATAAACCTTAATCAGTTTTATAGACTTTTTTCAACGAAATTATTAAGTTTAAACCAAGTACACACTTGGTTTAAACTTCATAATGGGGGATGCTCATTTTCTTCTTCAGTCAGCTCATTTCATCTCATTCAATCATTTAATTTTACTTCAAAGTTATATTTTACATAAAGCACTTTAACTAAAAATATATCGCATTTTAAATCGTTAAAGTGTTCTATTTAATTGTGTACTACTCGCGTAAACTACAGACAGTATTCAAAGTTATCTTCTTAGTACATGTTACGTTAGCGCAATGATTAAACACGTTGCCTAGAATAGAGTTTTAGGTTCGAATTCTGGGAAATCATTATAAACAGCTTCGGTCGAACGGCGCACTGAAGTCATCAAGATGGTTGTTTTTTTATGACATTACCCTGACGAATGATAATGTAACGTAGGAGAATTTTTAAGTCAGTGAGGGGATCGATAAATGGGATTTCAACTCAAATTGTATGTCTATACTGACCCCAGTGTACCAATATAGAGTATGAATATATAATTCTAATAGGACATTTATCACAGATAAATTTAATTTGATGTTTGGATATTTTTATATATAATTTTTAAGCGAATTTTGAAAGAAAATATGGACAGAATCTTTTCCTAGCCGTAAATTAGTTTCCATTCAGACTTCAGACTATTAGTCTGCTTCGGACGCATGGCAAATGACTCATTGTTCTGTTACCTGCGTCTAGACTTTAGGTAGATGCAAAGGCTAGAATAATCCTGTATGCTACAGTGACTTAATACGTTAAATACGATGTCATTGGATAAAACTCTCTTCTTTTTTCTTTTAATGGTAGCAATGTATGGCTAATAAAGGGTCGGGGGTTCGATCTCCAACGGGTTCAACATTTTTTTAATTCGCAAGTTGAAACATGTTGGACTTCATCTAGAAGTCTAGATGGTAAATGGGAGGTAGGAATATCAAAATACCGAGCGGGTCACGAACTACCACAGATGAAATCGTCAAGTATAAGTCGCCGTCAAGTATAATCGCGTTTCGGTGGATTTCCGAATATCCAAAGCCAAAACAGGTTGACATCGCATCGTGTTTAGATGTTATATGGCTGGAGTATTTTAGCTTAGCAGCTTCAATCGTAAAAAACTCATAATTTATTAAGTACATAATATATTATATCTATAAATCTTTAACAGATGCCATTGCTGGGACGCCTCTGTAGTCAAATGGTTAAACGTGTTAAGTGCGACAGGTTCTGGGTTCGAATCCCAAGGAAACACAACATTGTTTCGGTCGGGCAGGGCACAGAAGTCTGATCAACTACTTGCCTGTTAAAAGAATGGATCAGTGAAACGGACACAGAAATGTGTTCGCACCATGCCCCACGAGGGGGAAACGGGCTTTCACTTTATATTTTTATCATGTTTTGATCGTGTGAAGTGTCTATTCGTATGTTTCCTTCATTGAAGAGAACATATACAAAAACAAATAACCACTATTCAAAATCCCCTTTCCCAAAGTACGTATGGCACAGCGCAAACATATTTGTGTGTCTGTTTTATGTATAGGCCAGTATAGATCGAATTTCCTCTGCTTACCGAAAATTTTAAACTATGTTTACCCAGGAATTACAACCATTAAACAACAAAGCTTTAAAAGTGCCATAAGTCAATTTAGCTTAAGCTGCATAAGCTAGCGGTAAATGTAAAAATATATGAAAATAAAAATGTCTGATAAAACACGTGAAATATTGTAGTCCGTCGAACGTACCTGCTAACGGCGTGGCTGGGTTAACTTCAGCCGCCGTCGGTAAACAATGTAAATATGAATTTACAGCACCCACAGGACTTCTGTGAAATGTTATGTTTTCAACGGATAAAACGGTGTTTTATTAAGGTTTGCTTTCATTCTTGGTAGGGGTTGGTTATTTTGTTTAAAAGGAAATCGAAAATGTATAAGCCTCTTTGAATTAACATATTACGCAAAATGCGTCATTATCATACTAGTATATAAAGCTGAAGAGTTTGTTTGTTTGTTTGTTTGAACGCGCTAATCTCAGCAACTACGGATTCGAATTGAAAAATTATTC